AGTCATGCATCTTGTGCGTGTGTGAATCTGCATTTAATATTAGAGGCATTTATTTAATATGAAGCTAAGTTGGGGTCTGTTGATGAAGAGGGGGCAGAGATTAAAAACTGCCAAATGGCCCAAGCCCTCATCAGGCCGTCTCACAGATAATCCAGCCAGTTTGCTGCTTTAATTTAGCATCACTACGATGACATCACTAGTTGCTTTTGCAGAAATGGAAAAAAAGAGACAAAGTTGCAATCTTGTTGAGATACAGTATTCCCTCGGGAGGACAATCTGTAGTGGTAACTACCACTTAGCATTTTGGACCACTTACCTCTGCGCTTTTAGATTGCAAGTGCTCCTGAACGACAGACTTCAGCGAACAGACGTGAAGTAGAGCTGCAATAATCAGCTGTTTGAGTTACACAATTCTACGTGGTTCTATGCATAACTGAATCACAAAGGGGGGAATGCCGTGGCATTCAGCTGGCGTTTCTTTGTTGGTTTCCCCTCCTTGCTTTCACTGCCATTACTCAGTCCGCTCCTGCTTGACAAAAGATCAGAGCATAAAAGCTGCACAAACCTCACTGCTGAGTGTAGTTTTTATATGGACAAATGGTTCTGGATAGGAAACATACACCTGTACCTCAGTAATTACACAATCCTCAGCAATCCAGTTGAACACTTCGACATTCTTTATTATTTTATAACGTTGCTGTTCTGTGTTGAGATTTTTCTTTTTTTCTGTTACAGTCCGAGAGCCACAAAACTGCCAAATGTCTGTTGTCAGTCAGTCTCGCTTCTTCCAAAACAATTGGTGCGTAAACGTTTTTAACAGATCTTCTGCCTTCGTATCCGTTTACTCTGTTGTTTTCAGTCCTCAGCATTCCCGCTCTTCCGACACATTCACTGATCGTTGTCACCGTGAGTTCTCTTCATGATATTGTCTTCAGCTGAAGAAATGCTGTTATTTAACTGTCAGATATACTTAATAAGATGGAATAAAGGAATATAAACAGTTTATATGCGCAGGTTGGGAAGCAAAATCACACGTCTCTAGTTTGAGGTCTAAGGCTTTGTTAGATTTTATTGGCAGTGCAAACGGTTGTTTACATAATTTGCAGCTGCTGCTGGCCAAAAAAAAATAAAAAATGGTGGTAATTAAAAATGATGCATTTAGACCAGCCATATAAACGAACGGTTTAACATGATATCATCCCTCCATGCAAAGCCTCTTTTACTTAACTAAAACAGTCACCAGCTGCCCAACAGATTTTGTAATTAAGTATTATAAATGATTTCAGGAGATGCTTCTAGAAGTGCAAATTCAGCGTCCTTATAGAGTTGGTTTATATTTATATGAAGTGCATCCACCCATATGTAAATATGAAATGTAATGAGGCAAATTTTATTATATAAACTATCTTTTTTGTGTACACTGTCAATTCCACTGCTGCTCAAACTAGGGGCCCGTGTCATTTATATTCCACCACTGGTAAAAAAAAAAATAATGAGATAAAGCTAATGTCGCAACATTATGTCCTCTTCGGTGACCCCCCAGTTGTAAAAAGTGATTTTTCTTTATGCACCAATTATATCCGTCCAAACAAAATGTAATAGATTTCTTTTTTTCAGTTTTTAGCATGTCATTGACTGTGAAGATACATTTTTTGCTTTTTTTCTTAATTTTTAGTATGTTGGCATCATGTTAGTGTTTTCCAAATCACACTTTTGAAGACAAAAACAAGACATTTGAGTCACAGCAGAAACCTAAATTATGAAAACTTGCCTGCCTTACATTTACCTATACACGTGATCGGAATTTGTTTCCAGATTTGAGACCAGAATTAAAATCGTAACATTTTCAATTATACCTGTGCTACTTTTCTACTGATTATTTTTCATTTTCTAACGGCTTCGTCCAGTTTCTGGTCAGAAGCAGCTGAATGCTTTTTATTTTGTAACCTACTGTAGATTAAGACACAGAAAAATGACATATATTACTATAATTCTTCTAAATGAATCATAAATAAGTTTTTTTGTGATACTGCTGGAAAGAGAACTGTTGAGTTAGTTTGTGTGTCCGGTTCTGAAGGAATACATAAAGGCGAAACACCCAAATGAATGAAAAATGAAACACATGACTACATGTGTATGGTTACAGGGTGTCTGCTAAACCAGTGTTTGGCTTAGCAAAGCCGTTTGATCTATGCAGCATCACTGGGTTTGTGGTCCACTTTATGAGACTGCATTAATTTCATTCTGATCATGTCAGACTGTAATAATGAATGCTTACTTGGACTACAAGTTGCATTTGTCTCTGTAGCACTCAAAGCTGTAGCTGGTAGTAGTTCGGGAACCGCTAAACCTACAGTAGAGCCCCTTATACTTTACCTAAACTATGTATGTACTACTAACACTACTACTTGTTTTACTTAATGTTTTCTTTTTAAATACTTTGTATTATTAGAAAGCTTTGAGCTGTTGTCAGACTTGTCACTGTTTCCCAGAAAGCTTCACCTTTTTCTCCTGTGCTGCTTGTGACATACACTATGCATGTAGCAGCTTCAAAGAGGCACATTAAACTCTAATGTACACGTGAAAAGGCAACGCTAGCATGATTCCCTATGTGCTTTCTTGGTTTCAAAACCCATAGAAATACAGGTCAGATGAACTAAATGTGATTATACTGTGTCATATTTACTTGTTTTTTTTTTTGTTTGTTTTTTTTATAGGTAATTTTTAAAAAAAGAAGCAGAATTTCTTCACCATTTGCAGTAGCAAGCCTTGTTATACCGGTGTGCAATGTGTCATTTTGCTGCTCTTCAGACCTCAATCTCTGCTTACTGTGTAACATCTAAAACAAACAGTATGTGTTAAAGCATAGCTGAGGGTCTCTATTATACGCTGAGTCATGATTTGCAGATTACTATGGATCCCTTCCAGGAAGAACACAATATTACAGGTCGCACATGCATAATGTATAGACCTTTCCACGCTCCGCATGTTTTATTCAGTGATATTTTTTTTTAAATGATCTTAACTGTAGGCATCATGTTTCCACATTTATAAATGTTCCAATGTTTTTAGTAACTGTGTTTTTAAATTTTGTGAAACACTTAATGGTCAAAAGTTTTGAGCACTCCCTCCATTTTCCAGGTATTTATTGAGATTAAGGCTGTTAATGTCTATTGACCGTAAATGGTACAAAGGTAAGCAGTAAACTGCAACAAAAACAGAATTAAGAAAATAATTTCCAGTAGCGGTGCAGTTCAACGTAGCTTTGAAAGTAGATGCAAACAATTTTTCTAGAGGCGGCCAAACATCGAAAGGACCCAGAGGGCCAGCTTCAACAGGAACATTCTGATTCATTAATTGTTAGGGTATTATTTACTTGGTCATGAGGGAGTTCTTTATCATTAGTGAAAGCTGCAAAACATGAAAAAAATCATTCATGGCCTCCTTCACATTTTCCAAAACCGTGCAGTGGGCCAGACTGGAGTCCTTGGCGTCCCTATCCCTGCCCTTGAGCCTTATATTTGACCCTCCTGGTTTAGACACTATGTGATGTAAACAGCAGTAACTGGAAAAGTGGAGGTGTGCTAAAACTGTTGACTGATTCTGTACGTTGTCTGTATGGTTCTGCAGTGATGCTCAGCTGAGATCTCCTCACAGTCTTACATATTTCAGTACAGGGATCTGATAAACCTTCCTTCTCTAACCTCCAGTAAGGTTCCTGCAGTTAAACCTCTATGGCCTCTCGTCACTTCTTAAAGCTGCCACCTTTTGTCCTTCTGTTTCACACAAGCTGTACTTTTGCAAAAA